GCAGTCGACTACATGGGAATCCAGCGACATAGCCATTAAGCTAACTGCTGGTTCCCACCACAGACTTTTAACGTATATATTTCAGTGATTTTTAGTTATGTCTACAAGCTTTACAACCATACCATTATCTAATTCTGGAACATTTTATCACTTAAAAGAAACCACATGGGGTTAACTGGTAGCCTGTTGTTTAACGTTGCTGGATCCCACATGGCCAACTGCACGGTTTGAATCCCAGACCCAGTGACTTAAAAGACATGCCAGAGTTCCTGTCCACAATCCTGAAAGGGAAAATGGAGACAGGATTGAGACGTGACAATCTTCCCACAATCCTGAAAGTTGGGAAATGGAGACAGGATTGAGACGTGACAATCTTCCTTGAAGGGGATGCTTTCTCATTTTCTTTTTCTCCTCTCTCTCCCTCTATCTCTCTCTGGCAAGAGCCTGTCCCTCTAGCAAATTTCAAAAAAAAAAAAAAAAGAAAAGAAAGAAACCCCATGGGACCAGCAGTTAGGGTAATGGCTATGTCACTGGACTCCCATGTAGTCGACTGCAGTTCGAGTACCGGACCCGGTGGCTTAAACTCACAATGGGTGCGTGTGCGTGCGTGTCCAAGATCCCGAGAGAACAGAGGAGAAGGGATTGTGGTGTGGCCATCCTCCCTGAGGGGTAATTTCTCGCTTTCTGTCTCTCTCTGTCTGTGTGGCAAGTGCACACGCCCTTAAGCAAAACCCCTCCCAAAAAAAAAAAAAGAAATCCCATGTTAATTAGCAGTCTCCCATCCCTCCTTATACCCAGCTCCTGATAACCACTTAGCTGCTTTCTGTTTCTGTAAATTTGGCTATTCTGGATATCATATATAAATGGAAACACATAATATGTAGACTTTTGTGACTGGTATCTTTCTTTAGCATAATGTTATCTTTGCTTATTCATGCTGAAGCTTATCAGCACTTCATTTTTTCACAGCTAATGAGTAATATTCTTATGTATGAATATACATATTTATCCATTTATCAACTGATAGGCATTTAGGTTGTTTCACTTTTTGGTTACTAAGAATAAGGCTGCTAAGAACATTCATATATATGTGTATGTTTGTGTGGAGATATGTCTGTAATTCTCTTAGTTAATAAACCTAAAAGTAGAACTGCTAGGTTATATGCTAACTCTGTAAGTTTATGAGGAAATGCCGAACTGTTTACCACAGTGTCTGCACCATTATACATTCCTACTAGCAACGTGTGAGGATTCTAACTTCCCTGAACACATTACTTCTTAAGCAGTTACTATAGAAACATATGTCGGCTTAAGAATTTTAAAAAGTTTATTTTACAAAGTAGGTGGGCAAAGAGTGTTGGGGCATTTAAAAAGTATTTAAATTATGAGGCCAGCAAGTGGCCTGGAGATTAAGGCAGGTAGATCCTCTGTGGCCAACTGGGCAGATTGAAAATCATACTGGGTCAGGACCAGCAGTTGGCATAATGGCTATGTTGCTGGACTCCCATGTAGTCGACTGCGGTTCAAGTCCTGGACCCAGTAGCTTAAACTCATGCTGGGTGCATGTGTGTGTGTGTGCCTAAGATCTCGAGAGGGGAATGGAGGAGAAGGGACTGTGGCATGGCCATCCCCCCGCTGGGGGGTGATTTCTTGCTTTCTGTCTCTCTGTCTCTCTCTGTCTTTCTGGCGAGCATACGCATCCCAAAGCAAAAACCTCTCCAAAAAAATAAAAAAACCAAAATCATACTAGGTCCCTGTATGCACATATCCAAAACCCCAAGAAAAGAATGGAGGAGAAAGGACAGCATGGCTATCCCCCTCACACACACAGGGATGATTTCTCACTTTCCCTCTCTCATCTATCTCTGGAAAGCAAGCATGCCCTATAGCAAAATTTTTTTTAAAAAAGGGACCAGGAGATGGCATAATAGTTAGACCACTGGACTCCCACATGGCCGACCGCAGAGGCTTGATACTCAAGCCAGGCACGTGTGTGTGCATGCCTCAAATTCTGAGAAGAAAATGAAGGAGAAGGGATTGTGGTATGGCCATCCCTACTGGGGAATGATTTCTCACTTTCCTTCTCACAGTCTCTTGTCTCTGTCTCCAGCGAGCACACATACCCTAGGGTAAGAACCTTGGGGGGAAAAAAATCTGATTTCTGGCCCAGTCATGGAGATATGAGTGGGAGAGTGCAACTATGCAATGTGGTTCAGGGCACACTGGAGACCCAGATTTAGTTCCTGGCCTGCCTAAACGGGTCAGACACAATGGCACATGCCCATGGTTCTAGCTAATTGGGAGGCTGGGGCAGGAGGATTTTAGCGTGGCAAAACTGTCAAAAAAAATACCTATCTCTGGGGCCAGCGGGAGGCATGGTGGTTGGGGCACTGTACTCTCACATGGCCAACTGTGGTTTGAGTTCTGGTCTTGGCAGGTTAATTTCTTACTTTTCCTCTTTCTCTC